ATTCGTTAAACTCCTTTCGATATCGTCCATTGACTATGGAACTGTTCTTATCTATCACTACGAAACCATACTTGTGCTGCGCACAACATGCGCGGCACCTTGAACAAAACTTATCATACGACATGTCGGTATTTACATGATCGTTGCATATATGCTTTAAATTAGTGCCATCCTGTTTAAAAAAAATCAGCAAATTGGCATTATCACGTATGAGATGCTTAGGTATCTTTGCATAAGTCTGACAAAGATAAAAACTATCGAATGGTGTCCTACAGCAAGGTATTCTTTTATCAGATCCTGCTTGTCATACACAACATTATCAACGATAAAGATGGAATTTGGTAATGCTTCGTTCGATGGAATGACGTCAATATTATTTGAGAATGTAAAATAACCAATTTCATCTATTGCTGTTAATACATTTTCAAAGTATATATTGTTATTATAAGTAACGATATTTTGGTTGCTGTAGCGATTTAGAGTACACATACACATTCTCGAATCGCAAACCGTACGGATTCTTAATTTTTTTCAGTATATGAAGATATAAAATAAGATCGTCAAGGTAGGTAAGAACTTTACCACTAGTTATATGTTCTTAAAGGATTGCGTTGATAAACTTTTGAAAAATCGCCGGCGCATTACAAATACCCAAAGGAATTCCCAAAATTTGTAATGTTCATCCGGCACTAAAAATATGCAATATACTTCTGACTATTCTCGCTCGCGGCTACATAGAAAAACGCTACATTTTTCAAATCAATCATGCTAAATATACTCGATCCTTGCAACCGATCTAGTTGGTTGTCAATTAAAGCAAGGGATACCTATCTTTCACCATCTTCTTATTTAACTTCCGATAATCTATCCAAAGTCGTGTCTTGTCATCTCCTTTCTTTACTAAGACTACGGAATTTGCGTATTCAGATGTATTCGGTCTTATTACGTCTAGTTGAAGCCATTCTCGGATGTGTTCGTTCACCTTCTCTTTATCTATGGGCGCAAGTCTCCTAGGTCGCTCATATATACCGGAATATTATCTTTTGAAATTAAATCGAGCTTAATTCCTACATGTTTCGTTGCGCACGGATTATAGTTTTTCACGACTTCCTTCTCAATTTTAACTCCGCATCGTTTATGTTATTCATATCAATTTGATACTTCTCGTCAACTTCAGAGTTAGAATCTTTTATCGCCTTGATACAGAACATTTCTGAAATATCTTGCGAAAATTCTATAGCGTCGTTCTCATTTTTGCGTTTTGTAACCGTAATCTTCGTTCCGTTTATTTATATATCCGCGTGTCTTAATAAATCCGAACCCAGAAGTAAATCATGATTCAAGTATGTATCAGAAATTATATGAATGACAAGGCTATAGATCTGTACTACCGTCTATCGTTGCATCAATCGCAAAGCTTCCCAACGTGGTTACATTATTCGAATCGATATCTTCATATACAGTTTCCGGACCGTCTAACGCAGGTAAATCTAATTTTACATATTGCTTCACCGTCATTAAATATACATTGCTGCCGATATCAAATAGGGTTACAACTTCTTTACCGTTAATTACGACTGCTTCGTAAGCACAAATGGTTCGATTCATGGCACTCATTAACATAGGTAGACTTTTCGTACATTTCGCCGCCACCTGTCCGAACTGGCCACACTGGAAATCCTTAGCTTCTTTCTCCTTGTGACAACAATCGGTGCTTAGATGATACCTGTCGCTGTTTAGTATAAAATTTTATTTTCAGTCTCTAAAAGACAAAATATCAAAATTATCCAAGTGTCTTTCATTTTTGCTACACGAAAAAGCCACTAAAAAAAAAAAAGTTTTGATAGAAAGTATCCAAGAAAGAACAGAATCAGGTGTGACGATGGACGAAATAAAATCAAAATAAGGTTTAGAAATTCTGTACGGTGATCGCACTTCTCCGCCTCAGTAAATTGAGGACCAGCAATTACCCTTCGAAGACGCAACAAGCAACGTAAAAAATTCATACAAGCTGTCAAAGACAGACAAAAGGACTCTTTGAAGGAGAATTTAATACTTTTCTTAGAGGGAATCGGAGAAAGTTGTGAGTCTAAAAATCACAGTTCTGCCTCATATTCATTGATAGATCAATTAGCGCCGCCGCGGCCAGAAAATCAAATAACCTTGTTTCATGAACAAGCAAGTCTGCGAGTGCTGGACGAAAGGCCGAACTTTCGACAAACTTCTGAACCGAATGTGATAAATGAACGAGAGCGTCCAGATTACATTTCAATACTAATTTCATTGTCCCGTGACCCCTCGCCGGTAAGAAAGAAGGACAGCGAGCCATCAAATTATCTTACCATTCGATTAGGACAAAAAGTTGTTGGTGTACTCGACGTCGAGGCGTACAAACAGCAAATTAATAACGATGCTCAGTACTTTACAGTTGGCGAATGCGAAGACTATGTTGAAAGCGAACACAAAAGCAGTGTCCAGACCAACATAAACAGCCAATTGACAGATATGCACAAGCTCAGAGACATTTTTCCCGACGATAAGTCCGGTCAAGAGAGAAAGTTGATCGAAGACAAAAAGTTGGCCAAAGACAGAAAGTTGGTCGAAAAGAAAGATATATTAAATGGAAAACACAATCCATGTATACTTTTTTCTATTTATTGTGGTTTGATAGTTTCTATATATACCCTAATTTGGTATTATACACATTATTTTAATTAATTTCATTAAAAATAATATTCAATTCAAAACTAATATATTCAAAACAAGACAAAAATAATATATTCAAAATAATTAGAGGAGCGCTTTAAAAGTTGATGGTTTTAAGAAGTCTACACTGATACGTTAAGATATACTGATGATACCACACTGATAGCCGAGGAAGAAATGGCTGGAATTTTGGAATTGGTTAAAAAAGAAAGCAAGGAGGCAGGTCTAGAAATCAATTTAGAGAAGACTAAACTAATGCTGATTGACAGAGAAAATATGGTACAGCTGAACAATTTACTTCCTGAGATTGAAATGGTCAACGAGTTTTCCTACTTGGGATCGCAAATTACCAACATAGGCGGTTACGAAGCGAGCGGCGAAACGGAGATAAGAAGGCGCATAGGAATATCAAGAACAGCTATGGCGAACCTCGGAAAGATATGGGCGGATAAACAAATAACAAAAGACACAAAGATAGCTCTAGTACGTTCCCTAATATTCTCCTTATTTTCATACGGAGCAGAGGCATGGACCATAAAAATGGCTAATAAACCGCATAAATACACTTGAGATGTGGCGCTGGAAAAGGATGCTGCGTATTCTTTGGACAGCGAAAAGAACGAACATATCAAACCTTAATGAACTCAACATTTCTGATCGATGATATGTCGCTACACTATATGTCGCAGAAGGGTCCTCCAATATTTCGGCCACATCACGCGAAGAGACCAGGATAACTTGGAAAAACTGATAGTGCAGGGTAAAGTCGAGAGCAAGAGATCAAGAGGCCACTCCCCATCGCGATGGATAGACTAGATAAAAGATTTCACAGGGCAACTAATACAAATATATCTCCGAGTGGTCGAAAACCGCCAAAATTGGATGACGATAGTTCGCCGCTACATATAACATTAATGTCACGATCCTAATGTTAGACTCTATCTCCTACGTCAGTCAACGATTACGAAAGTAAAATAAAAATAGGGACAACGCGTACGCAGTCCCCATGATAAAAAATATGCGTAGTTACAGGAATCACATCTAACCGCTACGGAGGCGAACAAAAGACTAACTTTGTCGAAAAGTCACATACAATCGGTCGAGGCGTTTAAAGAAGATTTGTTGTCCCGGAAACAGCTGACTCGACCAAAGCTCGAGGATGCCGGAGACGGCTAGTTTAGACACGTGGCTTTACAAATTTACGCTCGAGCAATTGCGTAAGCAGGCGCAGGATCGCGGATTAGACGGCAAGGGCACCGCGCAACAGGTTCGTGCGCGCCTGTTGCAAGAGGCGAAGGTCTCGGCGGAGGGAGGTGAAAGACCACCCCCATCCCCGGCGCTGGATGCAATGCATTCGTGATCTTGGGGATCGATTTTTTATGCTTATTTAGGTTAACGATCGATTTCACCAGGAGCGATTGGAGTTTTACCGGCGACTCGACCTTGAGTTATCTGTTTATTATCAGCAACAGACGCGAGGAGGCATGTAACGGGATTCTGGAGTTATTACCAGAAGACTGACGGAGATTAGACATATTTTTAGAAGATCTGCTACCGACTGTGAGAGACGTAACGCCCGGACTCGCGACCATGGTTGGTAGCAGATCCTCTAAAAATATGTCTAATCTCCGTCGGTCTGATGATAACTTCAGAATCCCGTTGTATTATGCCTCCTCGCGTCTGTTGCTGATAATAAATGGATAATTCAAGGTCGAATCGCCGGTAAAACTCCAATCGTTCCTGGTGAAATCGATCGTTAACCTAAATAAGCATAAAAAATTGATCCCCAAGATCGCGAATGCACCGCATCCAGCGCCGGGGGTGGTCTTTCACCTCCCTCCGCCGAGGCCTGCGCCTCTTGCAACAGGCGCGCACGAACCTGTTGCGCGGTGCCCTTGCCGTCTAATCCGTGATCCTGCGCCTGCTTACGCAATTGCTCGAGCGTCAATTTGTAAAGCCACGCGTCTAAATTAGCCGTCTCCGGCATCCTCGAGCTCTGGTTGAGTCAGCTGTTTCCGGGACAACAAATCTTCTTTAAACGCCTAGACCAAACATAAAATCGATGTCGGACAGGCTAGGCCTATATAACAACATTGCCATTTGGTGTTGCCTAAGATACAAGAAGCAATTCAGGTCGAAGTATTAGCTCGGGATAAAATATTAGCTGTCAGAATAATTGAACCAAGTCGTAAATCGTAGTGTTAATGAGTGTCGTGAATGTTAGTTCCGTTAGTTTCTGTATGAGTGTGATCGTAGAGTGGAAGGGGTTAACACCGGTATTTCTTATGAAATAGGTCGAAAGCAAATATGCAACACGCAGGTCCAACGGACGGTCTATATGATACTGCAATGAGGGTTAACGTTAACCCTGCAAGAATTGTTAATGAAAATGTGGTAACAAGATCGATAAACGTTGATGTTGCTATAATGATCTCTGACATGCCTTCGGAGGAAATAGAGAAGATAAGAGATTTGGTAGAAGAGGAACTCGATTCGCGGAAAGAAACTAGTCAAGAGTGTGAAATGAGAGACAGACCTCAACCCGTTAGACCCGTTAGACGATTATTACCCAGTGTACCCCCTCAGATATTGCGTCTCCCACCTACTATTGACCCCAGACCTCAATCTCCTCCCCTCATACATTATGGGTCAGCTCCTAGTGCCTACGTACAGATATTGCGTCCCCCATCTACTATTGACCCCAGACCTCAATCTCCTCCTCTCATACATTATGGGTCAGCTCCTAGTGCCCACGTACAGACTCAATCATCTCATATTCCCTTCAGAAATCATCAGTCAGATGATGTCTGGGAGATTCCTAGTGCCCACGGACATCATCAGTCGACTGCTAGTGCTCACAAACAAACTCACTCATCTGCTGCTTCCTCCGGACATCATCATCAGTCAGCAGCTCCTAGTGCCCACGGACATCGTCAGTCGGCTCCTAGTGCCGACAAACAGACTTACTCATCTGCTGTTTCCTCCGGACATCATCATCAGTCAGCAGCTCCTAGTGTCCACGGACATCGTCAGTCGACCCCTAGTGCATATAAACATCGTCAGTCAACTGCTAGTGCCCGCAAACAAACATATTCATCTCCTATTTCCTCCGGACATCATCAATCAGTTCCTAGTGCCCACGAACGTCGTCAGTCGGTTCCTAGTGCTAACAAACAGATTCGCTCATCATCTGCTATTCCCTCCGAACATCAACAGTCAGCCTCTAGTTCCCATGGAAATATTTCGTCATCTTCTCATATATCTAGTATATCTAGTACTCATCTATCTAGAAAAGACATTTGGACACTAAGAAAAGAATTTGAAGACAAGAGAAAATTAAAGGAAATCCAAAAGTCTGAGACGAGGAAGAGGGTAGAAATGAAAAAGACTGAAGGACATGTCACCAGTAGTACATCCAGTAGTAGTCTTAGGAAAAGATACTCGCCATCGACCGAAAATAAAAGAATACTTTTCATTCATAAAAGATCTTCGTCATCGTAATATGTTTAATTATTTGACGAAGTCATATCAATTGTGAACTTTTCGGCTGTGAAACGTTTTATATTATTACATTATTATAAGAAAAATCTTTATGTGATAATTAAAGTAGTATAAATATTATTGGTTATAAATGTAATAATTATACATTATTACATTATTATTATTATTATACATTATTATTATACATTATTATACATTATTATTATATTACATAGTATATATTATACATTATTATTATATTACATATTATTATATATTATTAATATAAGAGGCATAGTAAATAACTGCTATTACTTATTACTATTAGTTATTGCTTATTGCTATTATTTATTACTATTACTTATTACTATTAGTTTTATATATCTATACGAGGCCTATTCAAAAAGTATCGAACCTTATTTTTTCCCGCGTAAACCAATGAAGCGCGGGAGATTTCCTTCAGTGGAGATGTGGGGGAGACAATCATGCGCAGTTGTACATTTTTTCCCGCCCGCAGAAAGTGTCAGTCGCTGCCAATCAGCCTACAAATGAAGACGTGTAGTGAGCGATCGTCGGATTTCAGTTTTTAGTAAAATGACAGGACAACTTGAGCAGCGATATTGCATCAAATTTTACCAAACGCTTGGCGACACCCAAGTGGAAACCATTCGAAAGATTCAGCAAGCTTTCGAGGACGATGCCATGAGCACTTCGCGGATAAAAGAGTGGACCCGATTTGAGTCAAGAGAGGACATCATGCGGAATGCGACAGACCGGCTTCGCACCATTCCAAAATCTGCATTCCGGATGTGTTTCCAACAATGGCAGAAGCTCTGGAAGAAGTGTGTGCATTACCAAAGAACCTACTTTGAAGGGGATTAGTGTTTCAGACCTCCAAATCAATAACTGTAATTTTGCCGAACAAAGGTTCGGTACTTTTTGAACAGGCCTCGTATATCTATTCAATATATTTAATCAATATAAACATTAAAAGAACAAATATAAACAATAAAAGAAAAATCTCTATGTGATAATTAAAGTAGTATAAATGTTATTAGTTATAAATGTAATAACTTTACATTATTACATTATTATAAGAAAAATCTTTATGTGATAATTAAAGTAGTATAAATGTTATTGGTTATAAATGTAATAACTATACATTATTACATTATTATTATTATTATACATTATTATTATACATTATACATTATTATTATATTACATATTATATATTATACATTATTATTATATTATATATTATTATACATTATTATTATACATTATTACATTTTTATCATCCATTGTTCTGGATGATCGTCTGATAAAGCATTAATAATTAAAGTATTAAACATTAAATGGTAAATAAAAGAACTGAGCGATGATTTTGCTATAGAAAAAAGTTGTTTCTCGTGCAAAAACGCGTCGAATGAGGCTAGTCTCATTAAAATCGGAGCTGACTGTGTATTTCTAAATATTTACCCAATTCAGCAAGGTTTCCAAGATGAAAATATGTAATCCAAGCTATTTTATAGGTCTTGAAATTGAACGAGACAGGGAAAAAGGAAAGATAAAAATTTCTCAAAAATCTATTTACGGAAAATTATAGATCGATTCAAAATGGTAGAAGCAAAAGAAGTATCCGTTTCAGTCAACTTTTATGTTCAACTATCAAAGGAGATGTGTTGTAACGGTCACGCCTCCGGTTTGATTTTTTGGTCGACCGACCCTACGTTTCCGATCGTCGTAACGTGTCGGGGCGCAGGATTTGAGGCGAAAGTTGTGATAATAATAAGCTGAGTTTTTTATTTAAATGAGTTGTAGCGCATGTTTGATTATTTTGTGCGAAACACGTCGCGTTTTCGTGTTAGTGCTAGACACGTCGTTATCGTTGTCTGGCTGTTGGTTCTTTGTCGCACTTGATTCGGAGGCTTTGTCGCGATGTTTACACACACACATTTTACGCATATATATATATATATATATATATATATATATATATATATGCGTAAAAGAGATGACACCATGACACTCGTACATAGACTAAATAAGATTTATTTTTTCCGACACGCAATATTTACAGATTATTTAGAGGCGCTATGTAAGCGATAAGGCTGACGCATAAGAGCGCTATATCTAGCGATATGCCCACTGACAGGTGTAGTGCGCCGGAATTCGTAATTAGCTGATCCGCTGGTTTCCTTTCACCAAAGGATTTAAAGGCGAGGTAGCCCGCAACGGTTCGTGGCTGATGGCGAGAAGAACCCGCGCAAAAACTCGGCGCATCGCGAGACCACCGTAGTGTTTGGGCAAACAGATCGGACGACGCGTTTTCCGTTGCCCGGTGGGTTTTCCGGGACGATCTTATATTGTTTCTTGTTTTGCATTCACGATCGAACGGCGCAACCAAACGTCTTTAAGACGTTTTTTATGTCCCGATTTTGGACATTGTGTTGTCTGGGTTATTATTTATTTTAATTACATAAAATACAATAAGTAAAATATATTCTTGCAATGTAACACAGGGATATCAAATAGATATCAATGTCATAAAGAAAAGATAAGTTAATTTTACAACTAACTTTCTAACAAAATTAATAAAACAAAATAAACATTTATACAAACAAACATTGTAAGGGCTCGTAAGTCAAACGAGAAGGGATAAGTCGCGAAACGATTTAGGCTGTCCCGGAAAACGCATCAGGGCAACGGCAAACTTGCCGTTGAAATAAGTGGTATAATAGGACTCCAGGTGAAGGACCACTTTAAAAAAACCTAACGCGCCATTAGTGAAACCTCCAGGGTGGCGTGGAAATTCGCTATTAGATATTCTGTTATATCCCAGCAAACACAATGTTACACGTACATGTACATGTTACATGTAATATGTAAAAATGTTTACTAGAATTATACAACATGTTAGAACTTTAATGAAGAGTATTAAGTCGTTTAATAAAAAGCGCCCTTTAATAAAAAGCGCATATCAACCATAGCCATTGTAACACCAATGTAACGCCAATGAAATGTGCTACTAGGGTATGGTCACCCTAGCTGCAACCCCTTAATAGGAAAACTCTTCGTGTATAACACTCAAGAGAGTACGGTGTTAAAGAACGCGCAATTTGAAAATTTCGGTTCTCTTAAGTGGTATATACGAGTGTTATACACATTATACACGAAGGGTATTAAGGAGTTGCAGTTTAACCCTTTGCTGTCCGCGCAGTTTTCACCATTTCGTTGCAACTGGTCCGCGCTACATTCACAGTTTCGTACCAGCCAGTTCGTCTAAGTCTTCATCATTTTGGCCATCATATTGAATTACTCTTTAAAATTCATGTCAATATCAGCCATATAATCACTGTCACTGCTTTCAAATTCATTGTCATGTACAGTTCTACATAGTGTTATGTTTGCCTTAGTTTGTTATTTTAGGATGAGATCGGTCATCAAGATTAGATAAGGCAGGTATGAGGAAATATACGTCGTGGTCTCTATTACGATTATTCATATAAAATAATACAACTATATATATTGTGGCACGTAACAATCGTCATACTTCACTTCAAAATCATCCCTAGAATTATCCTCAGATCATTCGCCGGTAATAATTACCCTATCCAATAAAATCGCTGATAAAATTAAACAACATACTTTACACAACAACAAGACAAACTGGGCATTCTTTAAGCAACGTCATAGACTATGTAAAAACCGATATCAAACTCAAAACATAAGAAGCCATAATCTTTCGAAAAAAAAATTCTTATGGCAATTTCGACTTTGAAAATACTTTTTAACTGCACTACACATTCCAACTGTACCCCACGGTAGGTTTGAAACTACTAAAACTAAGCTCTTGCTTTCAAGAGGCGTAGCCTATTCGGGATATGCTACACCGCAGTTCTTATCTTATCTCTTTTAGCGTTCGACGAAGACTCTGTCAACATAGAACGTGTAGAGCGAAACATTATGTGGAACAGTCCTCCCTATATAACGTGTTGGAATGAAACGCTATATAGAGAGAACGTCCATATAGAACTCGCTGGAACGAAACGCTGTGTCGAGTGATGCTCATAAAACCGCAACGAGTTAAAAATCAAGTATTGCATTTTTTTTACTTCATTTCTGTGGCAATTTTATCCATCGAGGAGATTATGAAGTACACATGTGTTATATAACAGTTATTGGGTTAACAAGAAAGTAATTTCGGTTTTTTAGTGTGAAATAAAACTCAATTTTTTCTATACAAAAAATGAACTTTAATCGGTCAAATATTTTCTATCCTGTTCGATGAGCTTTTTCCATCTTTTTGGTAGCTTCATGATTCCGCGCTTATAGAACTGCTGGTCCTTATCAGCAAAAAACTCAACCAAGTGAGATTTGAGATCATCGTTGTTGTTTTGCGGATTGTAATATTGATGTATATTGTCTTGTATTTCTGATAATTCGTTTCCTAGCTTTGTCAATTCTTCAGAATGTTTTATAACCTTTCTGTTTTTTAAGTGGGATATTTTATTATTATTTATTGTCCTAGTCTCGTTGACTGCAGGAAGGGTTAAATTAAACTTCGGCGCGTAAATTTGAATTACTCGTGTCTCAATGCGCTCTTGTGTTTGTAAGGTGACGCTACTTATTGTAAATGTACACGGTACGTGTGTCTGAATTAGACTTATTTTTGAGATTTTAGTCACGTAATCCGTTCGATTTTTACAACGTGCCTCTATTGTTTGTTCCTCGTGTGTTGCGACTAATCACGCATTGGTATTTTCTAAAGCTATTATGATAGGGTGGGTTTAGCTCGTTTTTATCTAACACTAGGTAAGTGTGCTCTGCAGTTTCTTCTTTGCAATTTATATATGGACCGTGACTTCAGTCTGTGTCACGATGTCGAATCGATCAGTAAGTACATGTGTTCATATACTATATCTCTCTTTTTTTTTAATTATATTTTCTCTCTTTTGATGTATGTATAAACAATATTGTATGTGTGTGTGTAGAATTTGATAGGAATTATCGTCGAAGTCGACGCTTGGGCTGGACGTCGCCGAGTGACCATTTTTTGGGCCCTCGATCTGGAGGTGCGGCCAATTACACCGAGGCTGGCGGTGTTGAGGTGACCCCGAAACCTCTCTATCTTCGTTCCGAGTACTCCACCCGGTTCACCGTCGCAGTCCTCAGACTGGTGAGTTTATTTAATTTTCGATAAATAATTTAAGTCTATTCGCGTGCGTACGTGGGTAGACCGACCTTTTTTAATTGTATAGTTGACGTCGGAATTTCTCGCTAGGACCTCGTATGGTCCGAGCCACATCGCGTCTAACTTTTTGGAGCGTCCCCGTAGCACGGTTTCGTCGTGGAGTAGGACTTTGTCCCCTACATGGAACTCATTTGGTTTCGTTTTCCTATCGTAACACCTCTTTATTTTTTCTTTTTCCTCTTTGAGGTTTTCTTTGGCGATCTTGTTTGTTGCTCGTAAACGTTCCTTTATTTCCTGCGTATAATCGTCAATAGTGTAGGTGGGTTTAGGCGGTGATAGGAGTGTAGACAGTATCTTCGCGCGGTGTCCGTAGACTAATTCGTAGGAGGTAAATCCCGTACTTGTATGCGGTTTCGTGTTATATGTGAACATTGCGTAGGGAACCCATTCGTCCCAATTCGTTTGATCCGCGTCTATATAATGACGTAGATACTCAGCTAACGTTCGATGCGATCGTTCGAGCGCGCCATTGCTTTGCGGGTGATATGCCGTCGTTTGTATTTTCTCTATCCTTAGGAGTTTGCATGTATTTTTGAACATGCTACTCAAAAAATTCGTACCTTGATCGGTGAGGATCTTTGTAGGTATCCCGTACTTTAATACTATTTTTGTCACGAATTCTTTCGCGATAGTATGCCTTTCTTGGTTTGGTATCGCCATTGCTTTAGAAAATTTCGTCAGGTTATCCTGGAACGTTAATAGATATTTGTTCCCATTTTGGGTTGTCGTTAGAGGTCCTACTATGTCTAACGCACACTTTTCGAATGGCTGATCAGGTGTGTCAGTCAATACTAGAGGTGACTTTGGCCGCTGTGTCAATTTATTTTTTTTGACAAGGTTCACATTTACTTATGTAATTTTTTATATCGGGATTAGTAGGCGTTCGGCTGATTATTAGCTTCGCACTCTTATGTTTTATTTCGGACGTTTTCGCTCGCTCGCATTCGTCGATAATTATGAGGGAAGCATCGGACGCATCTTCCGCTTTGTCAAATTGGGTGACTCTATTTGCTTGGTCGGGTAAATCAAATTCTTCCTCAGAAGAGGAATAATATTCTAGGTTTTTTTGAACGCGTTCCGCGATATCTTGTACAGCTGACTCAGCAAGGTGTAATAATTTAACCGTAGGAATCTGCGTGGGTTGCCTAATAGAGTTTAAAGCGGGTTCACTATGCAGCCACGATTTGTTTTTTAAATGTGCGTACGACTCGAGATGTCCCTCTGACATTCGCAATAATTACTTGATACAATTATCGTAATTCGTTTTTCGACTTACATTAGCGCATACTGTATGTTGCTGTACTGCGAACGGCTCGAACTGGCTGGCGTCTGGACGGTGATACTGTTGCGGTAGGTCGGTACCTCGGTGTCGCAGTCTCGCTGTCGTTCTCGGGTCCGATGTCGCGATCTCCGTTGTTCAGCTGGTCGTTGCCCCTGGTCGGTTCTCCAGTAGTTGATGTTCGCGTTGACGGCTTGGGCTTTCCTCTCCTTGGTGAGCTTTTCCGAGGACGATACTGCTTGGTGCCTCTCTATGGGTCGGCAGTTTTCCGTCAGTCTCGGCTCCACTTTGGTAGTTGTCGTAATACGATTTTTCTGGCGGCTGTTCTGGTTGACTGCTGCACTCGTTGGTGACGCTCCTTCAGTGTGTTTCGAGCCTCTTATTCATTCACTCTCCTCCTTGACTTTACCACTGTTTTCTGTGAAATATTTCACTAATATTTCTCGTTTTTTGTTTCAGATGCAGGTTTATTGTCAATCTTTCAAAACAATCCCACCGTTGCCACCAATTTGTTGCGGGATCGGAAACGAAGCAGTGGTGAAGGAGGTATTTTAATAAAACTTTTATTTTGGAAAGGAGTCTTACTGACTTAATCCTTTGTTAGCGTGTTACAAAATGTAGTCTTAGATATAGAAACGTCTGGTTCGGTCGGCCGGTGGACTGGTTCTCTCTTCCTTCGGTGACGGCAGTCGATTTATAGACTCGTCGCCCAAGGAATCTTGCAAATTTAGCGGAAACATCACGCCACTTGCGATCTTCGTTCATGCAGACCATGCATTCTTTGCCAATTGCCTTTTTTGGACTCCCGCTGTGTGATCATTTTTGCACTCCGTGTTAAAATTGACCATAAACCAACAGTTGTAAAAATTACACGGAATTTATTTCTATAGTAACATAAGAGTGTTAACTACCAAATCTGAAAAGAAAATAATTATAACATTGACAGAACAATAACGACACAAACATAACGCTATCTATTAGCACAAACCGAAATTACTTTCTTGCCAACCCAATATATGTTGAGTAGGAAATTACAACTAAGATATACGTTATATGTAATATTGTGTTTGCTGGGTTTCGAACATTTTGTCCGCTTCCAAACTGTAGTTTCGATAGAAACTGTTTTACTTCTAAAGCCCGTATCAGGCTACGGATTGGGATTGAGTATTGGATTGAAATTTATTCAATCAGAGCTAAGTTTACTATATTTGAGATTATTTTTTAATTGGTCATATTTCGATCCAATTCCAATCTACAGTCTAATATGGGCTTAATGGGGTTCAAATGACTGGTTAGGCTGCGGTGGTGCGCCTCTCGCTGAAAGAGGCATATGTACAAAAAGCTGCGCAATGCCGAGTTGCACACATGCAACTAACCAGTAAGTCCATCATCTAGCGTCCAAGTCGCGAACCCCGGGCAATGTGACCTTGTATAGTGGTCATAGCAGATAGATGATGGGCGAAAGGCGATACTCTCGCGCCTAAAAACAAGAGTAACCTGTAAACACTCCAACGATACAATAAGCGGCCTAGGAAGCTACATCAGAAGACGATAATAATAATAATTCTAGTAACAATGGTGTTATTATTATCGTCTTCTGGTGTAGCTTTCCAGGCCGCTTGTTGTACGCAATCGTTGAAGTGTTCGAAGACTTATATAATTTCTTCTTATCTTTTGAGTTTGATATCGGTTTTTACATGGTCTATGATCCGTTGCTTACAGAATGCCCAGTTTGTTTTGTTGTGTAGAGTACGCTGTTTAATTTTATCAGCGATTTTATTGGATAGGGTAATTATTACCGGCGAAAGATCTGAAGATAATTCTAGGGATGATTTTGAAGTGAAGTATGACTTATTTATTCCCTTAACAATAGCAAAGTCAATAAAGTCTGGAATTTTCTTTTTATCTGTAGGCCAATAAGTCGATTTACCAGTAGAAATATGTTTTAAGTTCAAGTCTTTCATTGCTTTCCAAAGTTCACGTTCTTTAGCTAGATTTTGTATCGATCCCTACCGTATGTGCTTAGCATTAAAGTTCCCTGCGGCAATAAATCTATAACTTAAGGTGCTAAAAAGTGCCTTGTACCGTTCATGATTGATTTTGTGTTTTGGGGGACTATAAATGGCTGATATAGTGATAGGACCCAGCCGGTCTTCGACTATTACGTTTGTAACCTATAGATATTCTTCTTGATACATATTTGTTTCATAGTGTTTGATTTTACTTCTTATATTAAATTAGAGCTGTTCCACCAAGCGCGGTACCGTCGGAATGATTCGTATGATAAATGTTATATCCAGGAATACGTAATTAGCTCCTGCTCGATGTGTGATGTGTTTCTGGTATTAATGCAATATCTATTATATACTTTTTAGGAAGTATTTTAGTTCTTTTAATAGCCCATTCTGTCGTGATGCTTCTATTGTGATAGCCCATTAGTATTCCAAATACATATTTTAATAATGGGTTCATTAATACACACACAAGTCAAAAACGCACAAGTCATAATACGCACAAGTGTGTGTGTGTGTGTGATCATGTTTGCGTGCGAGTGTGGATATCTAAGAATGATAAAATACATATTTTATTGGGTGAAGGTTTTTATTGGTATGAAGGTGTTCGAAAACATGTCTTCCTTTTTGGGTACATAAACACTACCTTTCGTAAAAATTGTTATCAACTCTTTCAAGCACAGCTGGCGTTATGTTCCTAAATACATTACGAATGCGTTCTTGCATATTTTCAACAGTCGTTGGCTTTATCTTGCATAAATCACATTCGAATACGATCACATTCGAATATATGAAGAGGGACATTTTCTGAAAGAATCAGCAATTGATTTTGCCAAAAATTCAAATAATTTTGCCCACTAACGTTATCTTGAAAAAAAAATGGATCAATAATATGATCTCCCATTATATCTGTTTGATTGACAGACTATTGCCTTTGCAATTCATCACTCCGTTGCCAATGTGGATTTCTTTGAAAATAATAATGGCAATTATGTCTATGGACGTCTCCATTGTTACGAAATTTGGTTTCATCAGAAGAAAGCATATTATAAAAGAATAACGGATTTTGTCTTATTTGATTTTCAGCTTAATTACAAAATTTTACGGATAAAATCTTTGTGTTTTAATGCTTAGGTCAAATAAATACGACACGGATTAAATTCATAAGAATGAAATAACTCGACTAGCGAAGTTCGTAAAAATATTCCTTAATTCAGCGTGTTATCATTTAATAAATGTTTACACTCTATGTGTGTAAAAAAGTTCGAAAAAATATTTTGTATACGTCGCAAAAGCAATTTTACTCGTACTCTTTGGAACTCCTTTTCACTAATTTTGAAATACAATAATTCTGCAATACTTTTTCAAATTTGCTAATCGTGTTATTTCATTCCTTTTATATAATCAAGTACATCATATTGATTCATTTTGATGCCATAGCATTGTTTTCGGTTTCTTGGAAGTACTTTTCATCAATTCTGAATATAACAGGACCATTCGCCACAGGAAATCGTTGATATGATTCGTATCATAGGTGAGACTGGGAGCAATTATAAGTTTGCAAAAAGATTATATGCCGAAAGATTTCCTGATAGACGATATTCAACGCAAGTGACAATAAAATTGACAATAAATAATATATTAATAAAATAGACGTATAAAATAAATAAATAAAATAAATAAATATGACGTTGAATATCGTCTATCAGGAAATCTTTCGGTATATAATCTTTCTGCAATCTTATAATTACTCCCAGTTTCACTTATGATACGTATCATATCAACGACAGAGCGGAAAGAGTTGATTTAAAGAGAAAACGTTGACTACTTCGACGACTGGAACGGCCCGCGCGGCAAGGTAACCTCAGTGAGCCGCTTGATCTTCGACGAGAGCCCGACGAGACCGCCACGCACTTACCACTGTGAGTAGGGTGACTATATTCCAGTCATAAAAAAAGAGTAAAAGACGGGTGAAAAAAGTATATAAAAGAGTACTAATTACGGTCCTAAAAAGGTACAGTAAGTAGAATCACAAAATCATATAAAAGTCAAGGTGACGTCAAATAATATAAAAATTATGTCATTTGGACATCAAAATGATTTTGTATTTTATCTGGGACAATGATGAATGGATTACTAGATATAATATTTAAAATAAAACATAGTGGGTGCTAAATAAACTGAGAAATATTAGTCGAACACATATATGTTATTTTATTATATTATTAAGATATTTTATAATTATATTTTGCACTACTTCGTACAATTACAATTTCGGTTTTCACTGTTGTCGTTACCAAAGAGCGGACATTAGCACCGTTTTCCGCACTCACAATGCCAGAACGCACGCCACGTGCCAGTGTCGATTATGCTGCACGATTTATAGTAGCGCGGCACCGTTGCGCTACTATATTTCTACTGCACATAATCGATATTGGCGATCGCGGCGCTCAAATGCTGTGAGTGATGAAAACGTCACCGAAGTCTGCTCTCTGGTCATTATCGACGAATTATAATTAACATTACGAGAAAGGAGTACAAGAGTACGATACGTAAAAAGTAGAAAGTACTCTTTTTACCACCTTAAAAAGAGTACATATACTCTTAAAAGAGTATATATGGTCACCCTAACCATGAGGGCAAGTCGCGACACGCGCGGTGGTGAAAGTGCAGGAGGTGCGAAGTCACACTGATCGTTATCATCGAGAGACCCGCTTGAGTGACCCTGACCGAAAAGACCGAGTGGCTGATTCCGGGATCGAGAACGACTACAGGCGGGATTCGCAGGAAGTCGACAGGCGCGAGCAGTTCGAGTCCGAGGAGGAGGGTTTCGTCAGCCAGCAGTGCATCAAACATGACGGCATACCGATCGCCGAACGTGAACCTGACGCCGTCCGAGCAGCGGAAATGCGACAAGTACGCGAACGATGTGACCAAGCAGCCACTGGTCGAAACGACCAGTTAATCTAAACATACGGACGGTACGGCGAATAATTCGCTGTTGAAGTTGAAAGTGTTGTAAGTTCGTGTTTGTTGTGTTCGCTGTTGAAAGTGTTGTAAATTCGTGTAAATTTGTTGTGTTAGAAATTCGGACAAGTAAAACAAGACGAATCTCGGGACGGTTCGTCGAAGACAAGGAAAGCATGCTGGCCACCCGTGATCATGCGTAGCGCGACACGCGTAGTACTCCAGGCTCGAGCGACAAAGGATTCGGATAATAACAAAGTTTATCTCGTGTTTGGCGCATTGTTACCGCTTCGTTGTTTTGAAAACTTATAAAAACCTTATAAGACCTCGCGCTCTGTAACTCACTGGATCCTCCACCAAAATAATCTCCACCGGTCCTCGCATTCAAGTCTGAGCGGAACACGGCTTTGTCGCGGGCTCGCCGAAAAACACACAAGCCAGAGTTTACAACTATAGAAAAAAAGCAATATCGGTCAGTGATTCGATTCTTTTTTTTGGATGGGAAAATATGTGAGGAACACAAAGTGAAGTTGCATACCGTTTATAAGGACCACCTTCGAGGACTACTACCAGATATTGATTAAATGAACACGAGTCCGATGAAATCAACAGGCCTTTCTACGACAAGCCCGATAGCAGCAACACCAATACACCTCGATTGTGTTCGTGGACATTTACAGCCGCGGCAGGGCCAACTCTTGCAGGCGGGACAGCGTGAACTATTGTCATCGTCGAGGCAGAACGACCGCAGGGTCTTCAACAAGACGTCCAAGCTGAGCTGAGACCTCTTGGAATCCAAGATTAAGTCCAGGCTGTTAGCTAACAAGAACTATTCGCCGCCCAGAACAACTGCACGAACATGCCGATGAAGAAATCCGAGCTCATCGATAAGCCGATCGTGCTGTCGTCGGTCACGCCGAACCGAATCGCGTCTCCGAAACGCTACATCACGGAGACGTGCATCAACAGCAACGACGAGAAGTATATCTTCGAGAAGGAGATACACGAGGACAACGGCAAGGTATACGGATACGAGAAGAAGATCACCAACAAGATCCCGACCAACGGCTACCTCGACGGCCCAAAGCCGTGGAACGACTTCACGGTGGAGACCAGGACGGATAAGTACTGCGACAAGTACATCGTAGAGACAAGAACGCACGAGGGCTGTACCAACAATTTCGAGCCGTTCCTCAGCGAGCGCAGCAGGACCAGCTTGGATGACAGGTTTCACAGCAGCGGTAGCAGTCTTTTCAGAAACAACGGCAGTAGCCCTTACAAGT